ATTGACATATATGGATATTTATATATATTACATATATTTACATTATTATTACATATATTTATATTATATATATATATATACTTATATATATATGTGTATATGTATATTTATATATGTATGTATGTATGTATGTATGTATGTATGTATATATATATATATACATATATTTCTTAGACACCTGAAAATTGATTGAACAAAAGTACAATGGGTTCCTTAGCACCGATGAAGGTAGTCGTAAAGTACGCCATATGAAAGAAAACCCTGCCCATTTTCTACTCAAAACCGACTCCACTCGACCTATATTATTCTCCTTCCGTAGACCTCAGTACTCTACATGACGCGCTCTAATTGTGAATAGTATTAATAAGGGTAAAATTTGCCTTCGTTTGATTCAATATGCCACCTGTGAATATTTACATGTCTAGATGCAAATTTCGTCGCGCAGTCCAGTCGGTACCAAGGTACAATAGTCCCGATTCATCTGCTATACCCGCAGAATTGTGTCTATAGATTTCTTAATGAAATCTGGTGAAAGCTACAAATTCAGAAAGATCTGGGTATCTCGTGAAGTCACAGCCCTGTCATTATTTAGGATTGTGGGTATCAATCAGTTCGTACGTTGCACACATGAATGGCTGTGTTATGTCACTCATATGTACAGCTACCCTGGCGCGAGTTTAAGGATGCCTGCACCCCCGTCAGCTTGCTGATAAGGCTCGTGATATATATATTACAATGTGAACTGATAAGAATTCAAACTGAATATGGAACCTGCATGACGACACTTGCTTCGAACAGACATGACTCCAAGTTCCTCTGCCGCAGGGTGGTAACTAGTCGCACCACATTTCCCAATTGGAAACCTGCCCTCTACTTTATTGCTGTTGTATCGAAGATGCTCTAGATTATGAGCCCGGCACACAATTCTGTATCCAATTATATTACTAAATAATTCTTATCGACGCCGCTCAGTAACGGAGAAGACTCGCCTAAGCTTGTCTGTGTGATTGTTTCAGTGGTTAATACTATAGCACTGGTAGTGGTGATTTGATTCAGCTGTTCCGAATACTGCTATAGTCCATACTATCACCTCTTCTTGGCACATATCACACCGTAAGTTGCGCTGCAAGCGAACCAATCAGTCTAGAATGACGGACAGTGGTGTGCGTGTCATAAAGTAGTAGCCCACGCGCATGTTTGACACCTATGTTCGAGTAGAGTTATATACTCTCTATATACAAGCAAGATTGTGACACGTCAAATGAGTCCGAATCGACCTGCGGCTTCTTGCAAACCTTCGCCGATTCCTCCACACGGGTAACCGAACCGAAAGATGGGTCTGTACTGTACTGTACGTGCGAGTTCATACCATACTCCCTACCACTGCGTAGGGCTCTCATCGCCAAACGGCGTGAACGCGGCATTATCGAATGGCAGGTTTGGCACAGGCAACGTCATACCCCACCCAAGAGCCTGAGCCTGAGCCTGGTTTACTTGAGGAGACTCGTTTCCTACATTTAGCGGCCGATCGGAACCGTCCCGCGGGTCGCACCCAAACCGCAACTTGTCACCAAACCCCACGTCCAGGCTGTTTGTGGCATTACCCCCGGACGCAAGATACAACCGTTGCGGAGGTTGCTGGTTTTGCACTTGGCGCTGTTCTCGACAGCTGGCCTCGTTTAAATTCGGATGACTGCGGGCTGCTATACTGGGCGTGAACCGTGGGTCATGCAGGAAACCACCCCCGACAGTGGGGCGTCTATCCACGATCCCGTCATTGTACATAACATTGAAGTCATATCCAACAGCCTGTGGCTGGCGTTGCTGTGCGCCTGTATTCGGAATCATCGGTGAGTTTGGTACGCTTGTTGCGCGTTTCATGAGTCCCATGCCCAACATTTGCGAATTGTCCATAAACTGCTCTTTCCGTGGAGACGATGTGTGGGAATGATCTTCAATCTCAGCCAACCTCAGATTGTTCTCTTGGGTAGTCGTTAGATTTGTATTGTTCCTGCTATAAGCCGGATGCTGCAGTTGTGCTGTTGGATGCTGCAGTTGTGCTGTTTGATGCTGCAGTTGTGCTGTTGGATGCTGCAGTTGTGCTGTTTGATGCTGCAGTTGTGCTGTTGGATGCTGCAGTTGTGCTGTTTGATGCTGCATCTGCCGCTGTTGCTGTACAAGGTACTGCTGTTGCTGTACTTGCTGTTGCTGTTGCTGTTGTCGTTGCCACTGAATCTGTTCTTTTTCGCGAGGCGTTAACGGCTGGAATGTTTGCAATCCAGCTTCGCTCGCGTACTGCAGAACAGGGCTGGGATTGGCATAGCTGTGTTGAGCGCGTCCTTCGCCGTCTTGTGCCTCGAATCCCCCATCAGTGTGTGCATTATAGGTCTCCGGATTCCTTGCTTGGTGTAAATCTTGGTGCGAGACGGACCGGTTGAAGACCACGCCCGTATTCAAGCTAGGCTGCTGTTGTGTATATTGCAGACCTCTGGCGTCCAAGCCGTACTGCCTATTATCAGCAGTGGGAGCTGTTGTATTTTGCACACCTGATAGCGGAGACACCCCTGGTAGTGCTGCATAGCTCTTAGCGCGCAGGAGGGACGATTGATGAGGCTGTACCTTCTTGGTATTCGGTGCAAACTGTGGGAAAGGGACAAGCTTTGTGAGAGACACCGCTGAATTCAACGCCTTGCGCACATGTCGCTTGCGTGGCTTGCGGTTGATCAGTGACGCGGGTCTCTTCATGAAATGCACGCGCTCGTACAATCCGCATGCGTTGCACAGCGTTTCATTCGTCGCATCACGCTTGCGCCACGTGGATGTGCTTGTGCAGCCACAATTGGCACACGAATCGAGAGACGCCCCGTTCGCCAGGTTCGAGTTCTGGTTTTTAGTATCTTCTGGTTTTGCTATCTTGTTAGTCTCTGATATTTGTCGTTCATTTGAACTATTCATATCTTTCGCAGCGTCCACTGGTAAGGAAGCAGCTCTAGCAGGAGTTGGTGTGTAAATTGTATTCAATGATTTATCAGAGCCAACCACCCCCTCGTTCGCGTGACTTCCTTGTATGTTAATTGTTTCAGACACTGACAATTGAGTAGGGTTGAATAAATTAGCGTCCTTGTTGAGGATATCGCTAATCAAGCGGTCGGTGGACTCACTAGACAATACCGTCACATGCGGAACACTCGATCCCTCGTTTTTACTCATCGTCGTCTGCGTGTCCATACTGTTTGAATTTTGTCGGACATCAAGCTGCTCTATACTCAAACCTTGTAAACTCCCCGCCACTGTATTAATGTCATTGAAAAATCTCCTCTCCCCACTAGGCAGGCTAGGAACAGGTGCGTCTGCTACGGTCCTACCCTTAATACCGCCCCCATCGTCAAGAAAATTACATGTAGTTTTGCTTTCTAGCTGATCCTGGAGCTGTTGCTGTAGAAAAAACTGTTCCTGTTCATACCTTAGTCTTTGTTGACGTTCATTTAACATATGTTGTTGTTGTTGCAATTGTTCACGACGCTGATCCGGCGGATACTGTTGATACTGCTGTGCGTTGTATTGTCGCTGGCTCTGCAAATTATGTGATTGTGTACGTTGTGTATTAGATCCTAACCCTGTGGATGGCGGCAAATACCCTCTCGCACTTTCATCGTTCATGGCGTACGTAGAGCTACGACCGTGCCCTGTGTAAGCAGGTTCTGTTACGTACGTATCAATAGTGTTCTGGGTTGGTTGGTTCGTAAATCCTGAACGCTTCAATCCATCTGCTAAGATATCGGGATACTGTACCGTGTTTAGCTATAGGTCTATGAATGTCTCGTGGAACTAACTGATCTTATTTACTTATTCTTCAAATTGCAGAGGCCAAACAAAGCATTTCTCCTCTCTTTAAAAAAAAGTATGGGTATTTACATAGCCTTCTGAAATCGAACACACAAGAAGGCGAGGCTGAGACTTTGTCACTGTCAAGTCTGACACTATTTTAGAGAGCGAGAGAAAGCCCTCCTCCAGAAAATCACAAACGGACATGTATTTTTTTATTAAAAACAGAATAACAAAAAAAAACAACTAAGGGTCTAAGGCATTCACATATTTATTTTTTAAATTAAATGCGTCCTTGCCTGGGGCCCTGGGGCCTGGGCCCTGGGACGCCCTGGGCTAAATATGTATTTACCACAATAAATGTATCAATTTAAAATTTATAAAAATTTATATTTTTTATGAGGCTCTTATGTTTTATTTTAGTATTTAGGCTATGCTCATTTATGTCAAAGTCCATTGCCGTTCTTTTTTATCGGCGTATATTCGTCCAACCAAAAAGGGTTCTCATTTTTTGCGACAAGTGTTTGTTTTTAATTCAAGATATCTTTCTTCAAAAGATGTACTGTTCGGTATTCTATAAAATGCCGGGGCGACATTGATTAGAAAGTTGATAAAGTATTTGTATGACCAATGATATCCTGAGAAAATACTCTTTTTCCATCGACCCTGCATCTAAAAAGTTTTCATATGTATTGCAAAAACCAATACCTACTACTACTCTCTACTACTGGTAGTGAGACCATCACTTGAACACAGCAACTCTACCAACACTGTCCAAAAGTCCTAAAATCTCTCTCGCAGCCCGCAGGTCTCCGGCTCTCCGCCCTCCGGCCTCGCCTGTTTCACTCTTGAACTCTTCTCTTCTCTCCCCTCTCGCTCTCTTCTGTGTGTGTTGTTGTTGTTGTGTTGATTTTCAGTGCTTTGACTTTTCACCTTTGTGATGATGTTTACTCGTCGGCCGTCGGCCGTTGTCAGCCTGTCACAGGGCTGGGGCCGGGGTAAGGGTGCTCTGTATTTATTGAGAAAAGCCACAGTGGATAAATAAAAATACATATGCGGTGTTTTATTATTATTAATATTATTTTTTAAAAAAATAGAAACAATCAAAAGCAGGGGGATATTCCCCACCCCTGTGCTGACGCTCGTCGCGCCCAAATATTTAAAAAAAAATAGAAGGCAACATTTATTTTGGATAAATAAAAAGAAAAACTCAAGAGAGAGGGTGGGAGATCTGTCTTGCTGTTGCTGGGGCCTGGGCCCTGGGGCCGGCTGCTGGCTGGGGAAGGGGGACACCAAAATCCACGTAGCATTGCACCCCAGACTCCCAGAGCAGCAGGGCCCAGAGCCCCAGTGCCCAGAGCCCAGACCCGTAAATATATGTATAGGATTTTTTTTCTTTTCTTATAAAAATCAAAACGTTGATGCGTTTTTGTTTTGTTTTTTGGTTTGCTGGATTTTCATTCTCTCTCTCTAGAAAAAGTATTGAACTCCACTGCCTCCAGTCCTCCACTCATCCGGTTTATGTACATGACAAACTTGCTTTTACATTCCTAACTAGGTTTTACACTCCCAAGTCCCATGGCAACTAATATCTTAGATACGACTCCAAATGTAGTGCGCGAAATTGAGTTTATTAGTACTCTATATGTTTAAAAGGAGAACCACCTTGCAACAGAGAAGAACCTTGTTTATTTGCACGGTTTACTACACAAGTTGTAGACCTCTATAGTTGTAAGAATGAACTTATGCGTACTCGCTATTTATACTTTATACAGTATTATCAGTAACTTGTACATACTCCTCCATTTCCACTATATATATCTAGAATATGTATCACTTCATATTTAGCCAACCTAGCATCAGTTTAAGTGTCTTCCATTGTAACTTATACTCATGTCGACATCTCATAGTCTTCCTCAATGTCGTTAGTCCAACAAAACCTTGAGCCTTGCTCATCATATCATTTGAAACATCCATAACATCACTCACGTGTGCGCATCGTCGTCTCCTGGATGTACATCTGTATTCTCTGATTCCAGGTATGTATATACTAATCAGCGCAGTATGATATACTATTCGCAATAAGTCTCCATCTGATATCCAGAACATCGATTCGTTTGCCGTGTAAACATCACTTCTAACCTTATCGTCTTATCACAACACATCTCATAATTACCGTGTCATCAGGTTGCCACACACGTCATGCTGTTCTCATATTACGCACTAGCTTAGTATATACTTGTTGATAGTCCTCATTCTCCATAGTATATCTTCTTGTTATTAGTGCCAACCCTTATATATCTATTATCACATGTAAGATTTTATTACTATAATATCAAATATAATATATTCTCATGTATATATATATATATAGATATATATATATCTGCTTAATATCACACTGAGAGCTAATCCAAATTAAAGTAACTTCTCTTAAGGCGAATGTGGCCGAGTATCGGTGTGCGCATTACACAACCTATTTTCTCTCTTTTTGAGCATGACATTATTATATATAAATACTACCCAAACAAATTAGTTCTTCTAGTAGTTTAAAACAAATATTGTAGACCATTAGATTATGTGCTATTGTTCTCGCTCTATTCCCACACTGTGTCAGCTTCCGAAGATGACAGTAAAACTCTTCTTTTACTGAATTACGAATCATGGTATAATAAAATATGTAGTACTGCCATAATCCATCGATTGAGCATCACCCCTATGTTTGCGTACAAACTATCCGACCGTTCGAGGTACATCAAGGCCACTGCCCCTCAGACACTCATCCCTGAGCACACACATTAATGCAAGTACTAGTGCATTCCACAGAGGAAAGACAAAGAAAGATTACTCTGTCTTACCATCGCGCACGAGCTATCTTGATTCTATCCCTCTCCAAGAAGCTCCGTCAAGACTAACAATCATCAATATCACTGCTGACCCCTGGGATCTTATGTCATTTCTAATGAATAAATATTCATTTTGCTCTGATCACATTGCCAAGCCTATTGATATTGCTTATCTGGAGGTTTTACTTGCACAGACGAAGAAGTGTAGCCTATTAGAGTCTCAGCAAAACGCTGTTGTGTTAAACTCCAAGCCGATGCAAAAGGTCAAGATATGATATTCACGGACAAGTTTTATCACCTTATTTTATCAGGTATGTTTTACAGTCAGACTAAGACGACACAAACACGCCAGTACTTGGACACACATAGCGTCGCCACGACGTTCCCTTCAACTCTTTGTGAAAATTTGGACAAATGCCGTAAGTCCGACCCTAAACATAAAGTAGCCGATACTTCGACTTGTAAAAATACGGCCTCCGGTTAGTCTAAAATATCAAGATCAAATGAAATAACACATTGGTTTTTATTTTTTTAAGTAATTTAATACAAGTTCTTTTTAAAGTAATTCCAAAGTGTTCTAAATTCACTTTGATGGCTCCAATAGCCTGAGTATTTGGTATGACTCATTAACTTGGACCTATTTGAGACGATAGTAGATGTAGGGTATTATAAGCTAAATTTTGTAATCTCTGAACTACTACTTGCAGGTTTTGGTCTTCCCGTCAATCTCCAAAATCCAATAAGTCTTTTTCTTTTTTTTAACTTTTCTTCAGATAGAACTTTATTTATATTAGCTAATGTATTAACTTGACTTACGTTCTTATGCCTATCTACAAATTAGACATGTGGTCGTGAACACTTAGTACTTCTAGTGAAAATTATTCAATAAAAACAGCTAGAGGTACGTCCTGTGTGATCGAGGATATTAAGGCTCTAACCAAGAGGCAGTCCCGATCATTCTTACACAAGCTACCACTGCTAAATTTTACCTGACTTAAATTGTATCTTAGTTTACTTAACATAGTTTAAAACATAGAAATATCCATCGAGGTTTACATATTTTTCAGTTATTTAGTAGTTACCGTAGTGTACTGCTTCTAGACTGTCTAACAACTGCTTACTATCCAGCGACAGGACTGTAAGTATTCTATACTACCTCATAGTGGCTAATACTACCCTGAAGTTAGCTACACGCTAGTTACTATACCTAGACTTTATTACTTTTCCTATTCTTGAGCTCTTACTATGGTTAAAGGAAATTCTAAAGGCAAGGGATCCGCCATGTAG